CCTAGGCTATCCATAGGCCTATCCTAGGCCTATGCCTAGGCTATCCACAGGCCTATCCTAGGCCTATGCCTAGGCTATCCATAGGCCTATCCTAGGCCTATGCCTAGGCTAGCCATAGGTCTAGGATAGGCCTATGCCTAGGCTATCCATAGGCCTATCCTAGGCCTATGCCTAGCGCTATCCATAGGCCTATCCTAGGCCTATGCCTAGGGTAGCCATAGGCCTAGGATAGGCCTATGCCTTGCCTAGGCTAGCCATAGGCCTATCCTAGGCCTATGCCTAGGCTATCCATAGGCCTATCCTAGGCCTATGCCCGCTATCATAGGCCTATCCTAGGCCTATGCCGGTAGCCAAGGCCGGATAGGCCTATGCCTAGGCTAGCCATAGGGGCTGTCCTCGGCTAATGCCTCATAGGGGCGCTTTCCTCTCTCTGCCCCCCTCCACCTGCCTCCCCCTCTCCCCTTCCTGCCGGATGCGCCCCGGCAGGATCTGGCACGCAACGACTGACCCCGAATACCAGCGATCAAGCAAGGGCACCGGCGCTACGAAAAGGGAGAGAAAGCAGCAGAGCAGCACCACCGTGAGGGGCCCATGAAACGTCGACCATTCGAGCGCCCCCCGAAAGTGGAGTGGCCGTAGGCACAGTAGAGCTCGCCGACCTCTGTCTTCCTCCCGCTCCCTTTCGCCTGTCTCCCTCACCCTCCCCCTTCCTTCCTCTTCCGCCCTGTCGCTGCCTGTCCTGCGCGTTCCTGCTCCATCACGCAAGGGCATGGGCACCACGAAAAGGGACAGACGGGGGGAGGAAAGCAGCAGAGCAGCACCTCGGTGAGGGGCGCGCGAAACGTCGACGATTCGTGCGCCCCAAATTGGAGTGGCCGTAGGCACAGAAGCTAGCCTACCTCTATCTTTCTGCCGCGCCTACTACCTTTCCCGGAAATGATCAATCCGGCTCTTTCGGGTGGCCAAAGTCCCCGTGACCGCTCCGTCCCTTCCCTGCCCCGTCCGTTCGTCTCCCTCTCTCCGACACTTTCGCGTGGACTTCCGCACAGGCGCCAGAACTATGAATGCCCTGCAGGATTTAGCGGGCAGGAGACTGGAAGCCGGCGCCGGTCCCGCGCAGGATGTGGCCCGGCATGACCTGGCGCGCAACGCATCCTTCTAGCGGCTTTTGGCTCCTACGTTTGCGGCTTCGCGCGCCGTGCTGCCATGGAAGCGGATGCCTTGTGGGCGTCTAACTTGGACGTTTGCCCTTCCAGTGCGGCGGAGTTGCGGCCACAGCCGGTACAGCAAATCGAAGTCGCGCACCTACATGAATGAAACCACGGCGATGCAGCTGCGGGCCTTACGCTGCTTTTTTTTTCGGCGTGCAAGTGTATCCATGGTTTTGCCGTGATGCGCGTGGTTGGGGTCGTGTGCTGCCGGGTGACGTTGCGGCGCCGCGCCCGCTGCTGTATCCATTGACGCAAAGCGTTTGGCTCCATCGGAACTTGCTCGAGTGGTTTGATGGCTTGTTTCTCATTGGGGGTATCAGCGGGCGCGATTTCCTGCTCTGCCGCAACGCCGTGTTCGGCGGGGGCGGATCTGCAGTGCGGCGCTCGCCTTTCTTCGCGGTGTATCTCCATTTTGCGGTGGTGGAATCACTGCTGGATACGGCTTGGATGGCTGGCTTCTTTGGAGCTCCTTCGGCCGTGCGGCTGCGGCTCAGTGGCCGCGCCGTGGATCGCAGCCTGGCGCTACAGCTCGCTTGCCAGCAGCTGTTCCCCGTGCTGCGGCAAGCGTTCGAGGACCGTTGGGTGACTACGCATCCTGCCTGGTGTGGTCCTGCTTGCGCCTCTAGCATTCCGCTGGATTTAATGAGAAGCTCGTCCCGCATGGGTGCTGCTTCGCCGAACGCGGTCTCGATGGGCGCACCGCCTTCTGTTTGCGGGCCCCGCGCCGCGGGCACATCACCTGCGGCATTGCAGAGCATCGTGCGCAGGAGGAGCATTTGCTGCAGGTTCATGCTGCCCGCTTGCGCGACCGCCGGCGGCAGAGGTGCGGCTTTCTTTCGTCGCCTTTAGTTCGTTGTCGTATTTTTGTCCAGAGGAATACACACACACCTTGGTGGCAGCCGCGTGCAGCGCGGACTCCGCCTGCACAAGTGTGGGCGCCAGAGGCGGATGACTGCAACACCTGCAAAGCCCGCAGCGTCCGCGCCTACCAGCGTGGCGGCATCCTTTGCGCGACCTTCGGCTGTGGCATTGTCATGCTTCCCCAGCACTTCCATGTGGCTGAATTTTTGCCGCAAATAGCAGCCTATACGTGGAGCACCTGCTGCGAATCAATCCAGCCCTGCACACCATTGGCTATACGATGACTGGTGTGCCATTTGGCGCCGCATTTGCGGTCCTATGGGAGCGTGGCTGCTGCGCGCTTGCAGGGGTATGTGGATCGTTGGCACGCGCGTGGGCATCGCCGCCCACAGTGCTGGTCAACCTACAGCCCGGATCGCTAGAAGGTCATGCACGACTGGGAAGAGCATACATTTTTTTCGTCGGCGACTTTGCAGGGGCTTGTGGCTAGCTTGGTTCATGGCCGCCAGCGCTGGGAACTGCATTCCTGGTCCGGATGCATCTGGGGGTCCGCGCGGCCAACCGTGCGTTGCCGACGTACTCTCTACCTTTGGTCCTGACCTTTCTCAGCCCTCAACCCGCAGGTCGCGTGCTCCGCGATCCGCGCGTGCGATCCGAAGGTGGCCGCACGCGGGTGGTGGAGGCGTTACGACGCTTGTCCGTGGAACTGCAACAACCTCTTCGTGGGTCTGGCTGGGATGTGGACGCTGGCTTCCAGGTTGTGGGCGTCGCTTCTCCTACACCGGTGCCATTGTCGGCGGTTTCCCACAGAACTTTCTGCGATCCCACTTGGCCGCCGTGACCCAATTTCCGCTGCAGATTTTGTTGCGCAGGCGCGGCGTCGGCCTGGGGTCGGGGGGGCGCGGGCGCGGGGCGCTGCCTCTGCAATGCACAGGCCAGTGACCAGTGGACACCTCCCTCAAAGAGCGGCAATGGCGGGATCTGAGCCGTCTTGACCGCTCCTTGCGGTACTGCAGCCCCGCCACATTCGAAGTGCTTTTGCTGCGGGCATTGAACGAGCGAAACTGGCAGGCACCAGCACGCGTCGATTCGCGCGACCGCGTCTCGGTGTTGCTTCGCTGGTTCCCCCTGCAGCAGGTGGCGCGTCGACGAGAGCATGCGTGAGGTGCTGCTGGCTGCGATCAGGGACAGTTCAGACGGCACAGACGCGTAATTCGGCTGTGACTCTCTAATTCAATCTGGTTTCCGCAGACCGACAGTATACCGGATTTGCTTTTTCCGGTCTCTTTCGGGCGATTCTTCCTGTGTTTCTGCAGCCATCTGTTTGCATTCACGCGACTCCCCTCTCATTCGGTTTGCACTCTGCACCATGGCCGCCCAAACCCCGATTCAGAAGAAAATGGAGGCCAGCGCTGACTTCGCGCGGACCTCTTGGGACAGCACACTTTTCCTGGGTCCTGAGGCGGGTCCGCGGCGCACGACCGAGGCATTCCCACCAGTGCACACCTGCGTGTCGCTGTGCGGCGGTCACCCCTACATATGTCCACTCAGCAATGAAAGTTGACCCCAGCGTGCGTGGACATGTTCCTCCCTAGATCTGTCAACGCGTCTACTGGGACAGGGGTAGGGTGAGGGGAGTTTAGGATTCCCTACTCAAGGGCATGCTCCCTCAAACATGGTGTGTCACGTTGCAAGCGGGCCTGAACTTTGGTTGGTTACTCCCTGGCAATGTGCCCATATCATTTTTTGTATAACAAAAAGTGACGCAAGACACTCACTTCAGAGAGCTTTCTTTTTTCTGGTTCTTTCTCTTTGCTGCGCTATCTCTGCTGGCAGCCTGCCAATTCAGAAGAAGAACAAAAACAACAATGCACCGAAGTCATATGGAATGCAGAAAATGGTTGACCAGCTTGAAAAAGCACTTCAGAAAAGAACTATGCATTTTGTGTTCTTGCTGCAGGCATCTTTCTTTATATATATTATTCTTGCCAAAGACAGACTGGGTCCGTGTCATGTGGAGCAGTGACAACAAAGCATTTTCTCTTGTGCGCTGCTCTTCAAAGCGCCCTAAAAAAAGGCCAAACCCGATGCCTTTGCACAGGGAACTTGAAGCTTCACACTTCACACTGCTGAAGCGACTGAGTCCACGATTCAGTCAAGGGACCCGGGTATGGTTATAGTTTGCAAGTGAACGCGGGCTTTGAACAAAGTGTTGCCAGAGTTTACTGGCCAGTCTCACTCAAAGTCCAAAAAAAAATATATATATATATAATATTCTATATATATATATATATAGGGGGGGCTACGCTACGCTGGGGTGGGGCCGCTTCAGCCACTTCCTACTACTACTTGAGCAAGTGTGTCGAGTGTTTCGGCACAACTGCTGCATTTACCAAACATTCAGCGAAAGGTTCAGGCTTCTTCAAGTCAGGATCCTCAGTCTTAGTGGCGCTCATGACCGCCCCACCAATCATGAGCTTGGGCGCTTTGCTCTTCAAAGGCATTGGTTTCTCACCTTCAAACCAGGGCCTGGTCATCAGAACCGCTTGTTGAATTGCTGGTGATTTCATCAAGAACTGGATCGCCTGGGGTCAGACGAGTAAAAAACTGCAAGCTGCAAGACCGTAAAGTAAAACCATACTGTAACTGTATGCTGTAAGTTCAAAACATAGTTCATTTGTAGATTCTTATATCAATATGTTGTTTAAGTATTTCTCATTGCAGGTAGCAACCAACATCTTCCCAGGGTGAAATTCTTCCAATGGTCCAATGGTGAAACTGATCCATGGTCCATGGTGAAACTGATCTTTCCAATACGCTAAGCTCTAAAAAAAATATTGGCTATGAAACCCAGGGTTTACCTTTCGAAAAGTGCACACACAGCCGAATTGGCCTCGTGCCGCAGCTGCATGTAGGGCAGACACAAGTGAACCGTGCGGGATTGCCCCGCTGCGTCCGCAAATGTCAAAGTCTCCTCCTGGAAGCCAAGTCGGAACATGGCCTTTGGCTCTGTGTAGCCCGGCTTGGTGAACCAAACTGCGCATGGTGCGTACGAAGAAGGCTTGTTTGCTCCCTCTGGGGTGAGGAAGAGGTCCACCGTGAATCCAAGGTCCATTGTGCCCACCTTCACACTCTTGTTGCCACCTTCCAGTGACAGTGTCCCCCAAGCAAACAACTTCTCCTGCTTCTCAGAATTGGCCAAATCCCCCTCTGGCGAGACCAAAGCTAGGTGATCCACCACAGCCCCATTCTTGCCGTCGATCTTCACCAATTTCAAAAGCTTCTCGGAGCTGTTTTTCCTCCGCTCGCAAATATGACTGCCTCCTCCTAACCCATCACGCACTGAGTCTAGTCTCTAATCTTAATCTTGAAAAGAAATGCAAGTCTTTGCATGTCGTTTTTCAAGATTGTCTACACCGGGCATAGATAGATAGATAGATAGATAGACAGATAGATTCATAAGTTCATAGATTCATAGATAAATTCATGAATAGATACCATCCTTACCGATATCAAAACATATCAAAAAGGTTTGGCAAGTTACAATGCATGAGTGAAGATGTGCGCTTCGATCGTGGACTTGAGAACCAAGACGTCCATCACGTTGACGGTCTGAGCTTTGGCGTTGGGAATCTCATGCATGTGCAAAACCTCGTAGAAGGATGGGGGGCCAGAAGAAGATGCAAGACCCGAATCCTGAGCGCTACTCTGACCAACCTGCTTGCCAAGCTCTTCTGTCTTCACAGTCGAACTTGCCTCAGGACCTCCACCACCACTGGTGTAGAAACTCTTAGGACACATGCGGGCTGGCGCAGGCAGGAGTTTCAGGAGCTTGCTTGGCTGAAAGGATGGATCCATCACTTCTTGCGCACTCAACTCCTTAGCGCCCCTCTTCACCACCTCCATCAACACTTTGCTCCACATGGCCGGCCAGCTGTCCAGCGTATCACACTCACTGCCAGGGTTCTGAAAAGCAAAGCGGGCTTCGACGTTGCAAACAAACGTAGGGTCGGAGATGCCTACAGTCGAGCTGCATAGCTCCTTGAGAACCATGTGCAGGAGCTCAACCTCATGTTCATCCAAGTCATCAAAGAATATGAACTTCCGGTTGCTGGGTCCAGCAGGCACCTTTGCATTGAAGGCAGGGCGGCACATCAAATGAGAAGCAGCTGCAAGCAAGTACTTTGCCCGTGAACAAAGCAAACTGTCCAAGATGCGTTCGTTGAAGCACCACTTTGGCTGCAACCGTTGTCGCTGAGCATTGTCAGTGTTGTCACTCTTGCTCTCAGAGCTAGGCTGAAGGTTCGCTGAGGCATCCGATGCGACTTCCTTCAGCATGAACTTCACTTGCTTCCCAATGCTCTCTAGAGGGCACACGCTGCTAGCGTTCACATCATCCTGAAACGTCGAAAATACTGGGGTCACTCGTAAAATTTCCTCAAGCAAAAAAGAAGAGATGTTGAAAGGACAAAAAGGCCCACACCCACACAGGAAAACGGGGACCGAAACAATTACGGCGGTCCTGACAATCAGTCCCAATCTTCTGCTTCAATGCCTGGAGCTCCTTGGTCAAATGAATGCACTGCGCCAAAGCCGCTGCCCCAACCAAAGTAATGGTCGGCTGACTCAAGCCAAAAGATTCTGCGTCACCTGCTTGCTCAAAAACCTGCGCAAGTCCGCCGAGGAGGTCGGGAATAGTGAAGCTACACTTGTCATGAAAGTCACATGTCTGTGGATCCCAAGCTTCAGGTCCCTTGCAAGTACAGCACACAACTCTGCATCGATCCAAATAGAGCTTGAAGGCATGGTGGTTGCGAGGGTTTGGGTCATTGTTCTTCTTCAGGAACTGCTCGCACAAAGATAGCGCCTCCTTGTTGGCCAAAACTGTCTTCGACAAGGACCACAAGTTGGCGCCACCACCATGACCTGACTTCTCAGATTTGCTCGCCGCCAGCGCAGCTTGCAGAGCTGGGCATGGGTTCTGAGACGTTGCCTCTGCAATCAACTGCTGCAACAAATCTTCAAGATCAGTGCCAGTTGGCAACTGACCCAAAGACTGCTTCAAGTACGAACTGATAAGCTTCTGCAAGGCAGGTCGGAGCTTTGACCAAGTTGTGAACTTCTTCTTCTGGAGGGCGACTGAGCCGGCGAAGCAGAACTCCAATGCATAAGAGACAGCCAGGCGGAACACAGGCGACTTGTGAAACCCATCATGTTCAGCATCAGCAGCACCGTTGCCGAAGACACATGTCAAAGCAGCCAGCACGTCGTCAAGCCAATACCGGGAACGAGTTTCCATCTTGCCTCCCCAGGACACTTGGGCCACTCCCTGATTCAGAGTTTCCTCTGTTTCCCCTGCCTGCAGGACACCCTTGTCAGCTCTCGCTTTGGCCTTTGCTTTGGCCTTCCCAGAAGCCTTTGCTCCGGACTTGGCTTTCTTCTTTGCTGCGGCGGTCTCCTCTGTGAGATCAGGCGCTTTGGCTCTCTTGCGCTTGTTGGAAGGATCAGCAAGATCTGAAGTGGCCTGGAGAAGTTTCTTGATATAGATTGCCCCTGACACAGGACAGCGAAGGCGATCGACCATCTCTGCTTCAGCGGTTTTCTTGAAGAGATAGGGAGGTCGTCTGGAACCGTGCTCCTGTGTCTGTGCATCATTCGCCCCTGCTGTCGGCGGCAGCAGTGGCACCTTAGTTCTGAAGAACATACAAACAGTCAAAGAATGAGTCAAAGAAGGTAGTTTCCAAAGAATTAGTTAGAGTTTCTTGTCTTGGCAGGGCAATGAGCAACGAGCAATCAGGCGAACTTACAAAACAAGGAAGCCGCATATTGTTTAACTCTCTTTCTCACTCCCTCTCTCTCTCTCTCTGACTCTCTCTGGGTGGACTGGACTGGAGGCGCTGAGATGTGCACACAGAATTTGCAAGCCTCCACCAGCACAACCCCTATCGCCTCCGAATCTTGTCCCGTAAAGTGTGCGTCGATGAGTGTGGCGAAGTTGTTCATGTTGTTCAAGGCAACCTCTTGCTTCAATGAAGGATCAAGAAAGTCCGTCTCCGATGCAAAGAAAGTTTCCCAATCTTTCAAGCAGTTGTGGTTCACCAACTTTCGACGGAACGCCCTGGCAGACTTGAAGGTGTTGGCTGTGTACTTTTCCTGATGGGCGGGCTGATTGAACAGAAAGCGAAACCGATGGCTGTACTTTGGCTTTGGACGCAACGCCGCAACGCTGTATTGCGGAGGAGGGAAAACATAACGGAACACTCAATGACTCAGTGATAGGCAGTGATAGTTGGGGTGAAGGTAGCAGAAGAAAAAATGGAACCAAGCATTTTGACATGCAGTCTCAACCAACCAGTGACCAGAGAGTCTGTCCTTAAACTCCGAGCTTTTTAGCCACTTGTTGAACTCGTCGTGAAAGGAGGCCACATTCCTGCTGGTAATCATGTTTCGATCTGCAAAAGCGCGCCATGCCTTAGTCTTAGTCAGTGGAGCCCGGTGAGCGCAACCAGGCGGGTCGCGGGCGACGCGTTCGAGTCATAGTCTTAGTTACGCCTCACAAACAAAACGCAAAGAAAGGACTTAAGTTTCCAAGATACATTGTCGCATTCCTCAACCCCCACCACCAACTCATGGAAGCTGATTGATGACCCAAAATGCCATTTGTTATTCAGATCCTTCAGGAATGTGACCACATCTAACGGCGTCCTTTGATGCAGGATGCGGCATTGGCGGAGGCCCGAAGACACCGTCAGTTTGACTTGCTCGTTCTGCGGCATTTCCTGGTGGGCCTCGTACAAAGCCTCGCTCCTGAGCAATGGTTGCACCCACCCACATTATCTACTCTATCTATCTACCTATCTATGTCCCTGTACATTACAAGTCAATCAGAACTTTTTGAGGTAGAGACTTCCTTGAGCCTGACTGACATAAATCTGACCTAAAGAGAATACTGTCTACTGTCCATCATTGGGAGTTGCGGGAAAACGGGCAGTGCTTTCCAGCGTTACGTTTCCTGAATCCTTCTAACACTTGGGCAGGCGCAATGCTTTGGCAAATAAGGGTAGGGCAGTGTTCCAAAGGTCACAGCGAGGTATGGTTGGCCGTGACCTTGAGCAACCAGCCACGCTTCTCCTCTACATCCTTCAAGAATTCCATGGGTAAGGATTCCTCTCTTGTACTTCTCCTTGACACTCTTCTGGGAGCGTTTGTTCGCAGGGTGGCGGACTATGGCTCGTGAGCCATCCTCTAAAAACCAGGGCACTGTGACCAATGGAGCATTGGAGTCAGGCACCTCATGCTTGATCTGGCGAACAGAAAACACGCCGCACATGTTTACCCGTTTACCCTGGGCAAAAACAGTCCCAATCCTTTGTTGAGATTTACAAGTTCACAAAATGTTGTTACTGCCATCTCTAGGGCGCCATGTACGCTTCCCAAATGCGTGCTTGCAACTCCCGTCCATCTAAATCACCAAACCGTTCCTTCAAGGACTTCTCCCCAAACAGAGCATCAGTGAGCTGGTTCAAACCACCACCACTGCCACCGCCGCCAGCCCCACTCACCGCAGCTGGCATCATAGGCTGGATTGCCGTCGCGCAACCGTCGCAGCCCAAGGAATGTCAGCGCGCGTCAAAGAAGAGAGTCAAGCGCCCGAACCGATCGAACTGGGTTGCCAAAATGGCTACAATTTGCCGGAAAGACATAGTAGGAAAGCAACACATCAATCGTCTATTGATCTATCATTGCAGTGTTTTGGTGAACTGGCAACTTTGTCTCACATTGTGTGTGCGCATGCAGTGCACAGCCATCTTCATAGAAACATGAGAAACAGTGAAAACAGAAAACGCCAAAGCCACCAAAGCTGAACCGTCCAAGAGAGTTCACAGTTCACTATGAACAATTTTGTTTCGCCAGTCTTCTAAAACATCTGTTTACTTAGCGATGGCCCTCCAACCTACTAGCGATGGCCTCCACAAACTAGCGATGGCCTCAACATACGAGCAATAACCTCGACAAACGATGGCCTCCACATACTAGCGATCTAGCGATGACCTCCACCTACTATAGGGAAGGCCTCCATTACTAGCGATGGCCTCCAACCTATTGCACTAGTACCAGGGGTCTAGCTTAGTCTAGCTTCATGCACTTGCTCCGTTTTTACAGTGAGTGTGGCGGCCAGTTCAAGCTTTGCTACAATGCTGGGCGATTGCCAAAACTACAAGTCGACATCTCGGTCACAAACCAAAGTCCGCTGTGAGCTCCCACAGCAAGTGACCGAAGACTTCTGGCACACAATCAGCCTTCTCTGACTCTACTTGAGTCACTGCGTAGAGGAGGGCTAGACCGCAAACCATGGCATGCATTGCGTTTTCGGCTTGTTCAACCATTCCTGATCTGGACGATTCATTTCCATCTCGCCGAGGCAACGCAAAGGAGCAAAGAGGAACGTTGGATGAGAGGCTGGAGTATACTGGAAATCCCTGCGCCAAGAGCGCTTCCTTGCCGCACAAGAAACGACCATGCGAGTCTGACCTGAACTGGATACGCCGGCGCTGGCGCATGATCATGGTAAGGGAGGGTATGCCGGGTGTACCTTTACGGTTGTTTGGCCATGTTACTTAGTTTCCCAAACCAAAAGGATCTCACGACGACAAGTCACCATGTCACACCTCCATTGCGGATAACTGTGTGCAGTGTAGCCCAACTAGAAGTAGTTTCGGAGAACTGGGGGTTCTGGTTCAGGCTGTAGGCCATGTATGGCTTTGAAGCTCGGTAGCCCTGCAGGAACTCAAGTTCTGTTGACGTCAAACTCAAAAGAAAAGCTTCACGAACCGCTTTGCCATCAGACTCCAGCGCCCCCAAGAAGTCTTGAAGTGTTGCAAAAGGGTTTTTCCCTCCAGCGCGGGACTCTGGCCTGTTGCAGGCCCACTCCAGTTCCCGGAAAAGATCGTCAGGCCGGGCACTGAAGAATGCATCCCAAGGTGGCCTTTTGTCTGGGAAGCTGAATCCACAACCCACATTCCCCACAAAAAGCTTCGTAAAGATGCTAAATGGCTGCTTCCAAGCTTTTGTCTTGTACTTGTGCCTCATGATTGTCCATTTTCGCTCCCTCTCTACTGGAAATCCAAAGCTTGAGGGATTCAACTGGCAAACTTCCAAGCAGTAAAGGTGGCCTACTAGTGCTTGGAGTAGCGTTGTATCAAACTCTTTCACATTCTCCTGGATGCAGGTCTCTTCCTGCTGATCCAAGCGCATACACACCCAGCACAAGAAAGCCAGGAACGTGGGGCCCTGCCATCCAGCCTGGGTTCCACGCAGGCTGAAATCTGTACAAGGAGTCCCAGCGATGTGCAGCCTGGCTGGAACCACCTGTGGGGTGAGGGCAAGGTTGAGAGTTGAGAATCTTACTCTTAGACAAAGAAGTTGCGTACTATGCAAAAGTCTAATACATAGGTTTGTGGAACATCAACGTTATGACGTGCCTGGCCTTGCACCACGACTGGTGTTTTTCACACCACGCTTGTCGGACCACACACTTCCCTGCTTTGACTAGGGGAACCACAACCTCTTGGTACATGTTCTGCTCTATCAAACGCTCCACTTTGTTTTTCATCCCAGGGGCCCAAAAGTGGTTGATATCTCCAAAGATGTGTTCTGGTGGATGGGGATGATGTTCCAGCTCCACTCGGCACTTCCTGTTCCATTCCACAGCGTAGAGATTTGAAGGCAACGTTGCATCTTCAAATGGAATCTCTAAGGTGGAGGTGATACCCTGAGCTAAACTAAGCCATGATGTAGCTGGAGTGTCAATGCCGCTGAAAGATGTGGAAATAGTGAAGCCCTTCATGTTGTCCAGAACCTGCTTCAACACTTCTGGTTTCTCCGGAAGATCTCTCTGGGCCTTGAGCAGGCTATCGTAGAAGATATCTAATGCCCTGATCGGCCACATGAACAATCTCTTCAAGAAGGTCCATCGCTGACTGTTCTCTGCGCCGACCAAGGGCAATGGGTCAGGAGCATCAGGCTTGGAACTGGCTGGAGGAGCAGCTCCGCGATCACGAGGAGCGGGTCGACTCTTCACTGCGGTCGCGGCGGCGGCCCGGGGCGCGCAAGCTATCTTGGGAGATGTCTTTGATGTACACCGTTTGGTTGGAGGCGGTGACAAGGCGTATGCCTTGGCCTTCGCCTTTACCATGGCTGACAATGCTCAAGAGAGCATATAGCACTGTACCATTGAATTGGCAGATCACCGCTCTGCCAGATCTCGAACCAGAAATTCAAAAGCGCTCGTGACCCTGGCACTGCATGTTCTGCAAGAAAGTCAGCTGGATGAACCTGACTCAAAATCTCAATAATTCAACTCTTCCCGTTCACTTGTAGTCCTCGCGCGTTTCCCGGTGACCGGCCTGCGCATGAAGTTGCAAGAGGCCTCTCCTGGGGAAACACACAGCAGCGCTCCAAACGAGCAAGTATCCTGTACGAGAATCTCACGTGTGCTGTTAAACTGTTCAAAGGTCTATCCACAATGTTGTCACAACGAAGCCTTTCTGCTCGCACCAACACAGCCCCTTTCCCCACACATTCAAACTCTAATACCTGGCCTCCACATAGAGCGCGGACAAGCCCTGTCCACGCCCCCTCCCCCCAGCCCACCCGCGGACAAGCCCTGTCCACACCCCCTCCTCCCAGGCCACCCGCGGACAAGGCCTGTCCACGCCCCCTCCTCCCAGGCCACCCGCGGACAAGCCCTGTC